TGCCCACTCGGATTGAATTAGAAATAAACCGCCGATAGCCCTATAGGCCAATGGGCTATTACAGCCTGTTGTATGACAGTGAAACAAGATTTACCTGATTTTATATTTTTCACTGCATACAGTTCCGTCGGGGAGCATTCATTCTGGCCAGGGTTCATAATGTCCAGGGTACGCTATGCCCAGTGTCAAAATGGCCAGTGCCTTGAATGGGCCAGAGTTCATAATGTCCAGGGATTGCATGGTCCAAATGTGGCCAACTGGCTGCAGATAGGGTATATTCAAAGAGGCCAGGGTTCATAATGTCCAGGGCACGATGTGTCCAGTGTTCAAAATGGCCAGGGTTCATAATGTCCAGGGCACGATGTGTCCAGTATTCGAAATGGCCAGGGTTCATAATGTCCAGGGCACGATGTGTCCAGTGTTCAAAATGGCCAGTGCCTTGAATGGGCCAGAGTTCATAATGTCCAGGGATTACATAGTCACTGAAAGTGACGTCATTATGTAAAAAACACGGAATCAGCTCAATGCAAAGCAGTGCAGTGCCGAAGGCAATGCCTTAGGAGAGATTACAGGCAATAGTAAATCAAATATTTTTAGGTTAAGTGGTTATGTATCTGGCTTCAGGCCGAAGGCCTGAAGCCTGATGCATAACCACTTAACCTAAAAATATTTGATTTACTATTGCTTGCAATCTATTCATGCGAGAAACTATTTCCTTATCCCTGGTAGGCAAACATCATTACCTTAGGTTAGGTTAGGTTAGGTTAGGTTAGGTTAGGTTAGGTTTGGTTGGGTTGGGTTGACTATGTAATCCCTGGACACTATGAACTCTGGCCCATTCAAGGCACTGGCCATTTTGAACACTGGACACATCGTGCCCTGGACATTATGAACCCTGGCCATTTCGAACACTGGACACATCGTGCCCTGGACATTATGAACCCTGGCCATTTTGAACACTGGACACATCGTGCCCTGGACATTATGAACCCTGGCCTCTTTGAATTTACCCTATCTGCAGCCAGTTGGCCACTTTTGGACCATGTAATCCCTGGACAATGTGAACACTGGCCAATTCAAGGCACTGGCCAATTCGAGCACTGGATACATTGTGCCCTGGACATTATGAACCCTGGCCTAAATAATACGCACCCGTTCCGTCATCAGCGAATGTTTTCAATACATTTCCAGCCCACAGTATTTATTTGTATGGTCGACTACAGAATGATGTTCCACTTTTCACAGGCAATTATTCGCCTGGAGTGGTAGGCTGTGCCGCATCACACGGGCTGAGTTCACAAATTATAGCTTTGTCCCAATGCTTACAATCGACACGCTTAATTGCGTGATAAACGGCACAACTTAGCACTCCGGTCAACTGATAGCTTCTGAGGAGTGGAACATCATTCTGTAGTCGACTATACTGTCAGCTATGTAGATCAATTCCTTGGGTATATCCAACATCCTCGAAATGTGATTGCTCTAACGAAAGCGTCTCTTTCAGGTCCCAAGACTCCGACGGTGGGCATTGCCGACGAACCCGACTTTGTGATACCAGGTAAGCCAAGAAGGAGATGCTATCCGCGCCTGTTTTTAGAAGGAACGTTCACAAAAATAATATATTTTATCATCAGTATGTTTTACCGTTGTCTGACAATGCCTTCATGCCTAATGCCTAAAATGCATAATAACAATGCCTAATGTCTCCATGCCAAAATTGCATGTATGTAGAGATACGGGTGCAAAACAGTTGATGGTGAGCCAACTCATTCCATTCGTGATTTCTCTTTCTCATGTCTCAATGGTCTCAATACATCTCAATATGATTCAAGGGAAAATGCAACATAAGTTTCTGTCAGCAGTAGTCTTTCGGGACTCCTTACAAGCCACTTTTCTTTTCCAGATGACATTGACCTGCCGGATCTTGACCGTAAGTAACATTGAATAACTTTTCAAGGGCAAACAGAAACACAGTGGGAGATATACCTAAAGGCCGCTCCACACCGGACCTCGCATGCGGGTTGAGAGTTTTTGGGTTTTGGGTTTCTTCAAAATCAAATAATAGGTACCATCTAAGCTGAGTGACCCACACTACCATCTAACAAGCGTGCCTGCACTTGCGAGCCACCTTGCATCGCATTCCAAAAGATTTTTAGTCAACTTTTGATATTCCTTGCTGCGAGGTGTGCGAGTTCTGCGAGGTTTGCGGGTTTTTCGTTGGAGTCGAATTTTGGTTCGTTGCTCTGGTATTGCGACTATATGTAATTTTCTGAAAGTGTACCGGCTTCGTTGCATTCATGAAGTTACCATAAAGGAACGGTCTAATCACTCTATGAATTAGTATTATGCCCGCAAACTCAAAACCCGCCAACTCGCAACCCGCATGCGAGGTCCAGTGTGGGGCGGCCTAGGCATTGGCCTTACATCCAAAGTTCGCTTATACACACATAACGGGAGATTACTGGACATTACAACCCACACAGAATGCTACATATAACGTTTTACACAAAAGTATACCGGTCCGGTACCGGTAATTGGTTGAAAAGATCTCATTTTGGAACGACCTGTACTTATCGCAATTAGAAGTACAGTTAAGTATAGTTAAGTATTGCGCCCTGATAATCGGTTATCTCGTCACCGATATCTTTTTTTATCGAGCTGTACGCCCATCGTGAATGAATCACACACAAATGTATGGCTTCATATGTATGGCTATAGTATAATATGGCTTCATAGGTACTAAAAAAACTCAACAGCATGTAGGCCGCTCTTACGACGCATTCTGTCGTTTACAGTGCCTCCGTACGACCCGAACTTCTTCTTCGACTATCCTCCTGAGCCGCTGCCCGACACATGTGAGTACTGTTCTGAGTGTCACTGTGCAGTGTGCAGTGCGCACCGTCAGCGAGGCTTTTCTCGCCTCACACTAACATTGTACACTGTAAGTATGAAATCATTCCGGACCCGAGTTGAATGGAACCGGCGATGCTACGGAGTCATGAAAGTCGTAGTCATATAGCATACATCAACGGTCAAATGAAAGATGGCAACTGTCCGAAATTTACGACTATATTGTTAGGAATTTGGAAACGTTTCCCTTTCCAGTTTCTTGTGAGATTTTAGAGGGAGGAAACCTTCGTACGTAGAAGCATGTTATTATCCTCATCACTATTCGTGACTATGTGACACTTGATTTCGATCGATAAGTCTGAAGAAATGTCGATTGTCGATTACAATAAAAGTGCCCACACAAAGCGACAGAACATCTAAAAACAAACGTCATCATCCCAACTTCGCTAAAGCAATTGGCATCCACAAGCAAAGCATTTCGCTACCATGCATTTACCTGCTCTTTTACCCCGGCGTTTTCCGGTGTATGTTTGTTTCAGATTTGATTGACCTGATCCTGCCGCCTGAGCAGCCAGACTGGCCCCCGCCGAGTCCGCCCGACCAGGAGCCGGACATCTACATTGTGTACCTGCCGTACTTCGAGAACCCTACCCCGACGCCCACGGTAAGGGTGGATGGGGCGTGGTGTCTCAGCTTAGCCGCTGCCTGACCTGGCTGTCCAGTAAAAGCGCGATGGATCTTCACGAATTTCAGACCGCCGCTGAGGCAACGCCCAAAATATTTTCCAGTTTTGACGAATACATTTCCCGAGCTTCTGCACCCTAATTCGTAAATTTCGCCTTACATTGTTCAACGTTCACCCTCTTGATCTCTGTAACTCGTCGTAACCTCTAACCACAGGATATCACCTTCTTCGTGGACCCGCCGATCTACGAGTTCGACATGCCGGCCGTGCACTGGGAGTACCCGGACCCGGTGAACTGGTGGCCGGACCCGCTGCTGCTGCAGCCCGAGCCTCTCGACTGGATCTGGCCGCTGGACCCCTCCTGGGAAACCTACTGGCCCAGCCTGGACAGCTTCTTCCCGAGCATGATGACAGAACCGTCCGTCATCTATTCGTACTTCTGAATGCCGTCCTGCGAGGCGAGAATGGTGCGTTTAAAGTGCCTTTAGGTACTACGCGCAAGAGGATTGGCACCTTGCGGTGTACAGGGTGGTATGTAGTTTGTAGGTATGTGTTTTTGTTGGGGTCTCCTCGCACGTTATTTTCAAGGTGTGTCGCACTGAGTGAATCGCATCACACGCAACCGACGAAGAGCACTTTAAATGTGACCAATATATTTATTGAAACAACGGTTCGCCGAGGCACGTTATGTGGCTTGTTCTAAAAAAGAACCAATAATTTGATGAATATGCCCAGGAGTAGGGACGACGTCAGCACTGTGGTGAAAAGAGGACGGCAAAAAAGTGTTCAAAAAGCCAAAAGCTCCATCAGCGTGAGAGGTGTTAAAGTTTGCCATTTTGTGACCGCGCCTGGCTGGCAGCGCTGTACTGCATGGTCATTGTTCGCCTTTGAAGTTTATGCCATTTACCTACCAACAAAAGCAAGGGAATTGAAGCATTGGTGTACGATTGTCTTTAGACTATCTACATATAGACATTGCAGATCGGTGTTGTAAATATAATTACTGTGTACTTGTGGCGTTTGCTGATCTTAATAGCTTATCAGCTATTCGACGCCGCGCATTTATGGGGTGTCCAGTTCCATATTTATCCTGATTGAAGGTGACTTAAAAATATAGGGTTCATGGTAACAGATCCAAGAAGAGCTTGTTTCGGTTCAAAAAGGCCGTAGTCACTAACATTCCTGTAACGTGTTCGTCTTTTTGTATCGCGTGAGTTGTGCCCTTTTGCTGAGGAAATCTCTTTAATCTATTGCTTAATATTGCTTTGGGATATTTCGTAAGATTCAGGATCAGTGTAACGAAAAATATAATCCCAGTGTCTAAACTATCTAATAGATGCGACTTTACTCCCGAAATAGTTCACAACATGACGTCAGCATTCTCTCGTGACGCCACCTGTTATTTATCGCCTTGGGTTGAACGAAGAGATTCTCCATTTGCCCAAAATAATATCACAAACCTTGGTTAACTTACAAAAATTACATATATTACGGAAGCCATTTATCTATCACAATGCAGCAGTCAGTTCTAATAGCCATCGACAATTCGATCAAATGACGCAGATCAGCACATTCAGTCAGAAGTCCGTGTCCGGGTCAATGCTACAGGCGAGCCCGGCTCCGCGCCAGTCTCTGCCCCAGGCTCAGTGGCCTCTATCCCAGTTTCTGTACCAACCTTTGCCCCGGTCCCTTCCCCAGCCTTTTCCCCACCTTCCGTACCGCGGGTCGTCTCAGCCGCCGCGTCTGCCTTCTTTACCTCTCGGCTCTCGGGCCCTTTAGCCGCGCCGGAGTCGCTATACCGCTCCCCGAGTAGCTCCATAAGCCTACCGGTCAGCCGGTCCAGGCTGGCGGGGGTCGTCTGCAACGGCTGCAGCGCGCGGCTGAAGGCGACATCGGCGTCCCTGGCCAGCGCCGCCAGGTCGGGGTGCAGCTGCAGCAGACTGGTGAAACGCCGGGAGGGGGAGGGGGGCGGTCATTAGATGGAGCGCGGTAGGGTGCAGCGGTCCGAGCAACGACACAAAACATATGACAAAACATACAGGATAATACGAAACATGACAAAACAAGCCACAAATACTCCAATTTGTTAGTCTCGTTTTCACGTGAAGTACGACAGGCTTTTCTTCATCAACACTGAAATGAAGTATGACCCTACTTCCTAAAATGCCAAAGCCTCCAAGACCCAATGACGTAGCGGCAGCTGACGTACCAGTTGAGCAGGACGACGGCGGCGAGGGTCCACTGGCTAGGCGTCATTGTGACGTTGGTGGCCGTCAGGCGGAAACTGGCCACCAGGAGACGCAGCGGTAACGTGACGTCAGACATCAGCAGCCCCAGCAGCGGCAGCAGCCGGGCCGTGCTGCGACACAAAGATATAGCTGAGGTGACACATGCGAATAAACGGCACCATTGGCGCAGCACGAATATTTTAGCTGGGCTAAAAATATGACACATGATTAACCCGCGCCCCGTTGGGCTCTGCCGAGCAACGCGCCCGGTTGGGGGGGGGGGGGCATTTTGCCCCCCCCCCCCCCACAAGATCTCGAGAACCACGCAACATAGCGACAAGCGGTAAACGGCGTTGGATAGCCCCAACGAGGAACTACCTTGTGACCCAATTTTATTGACCTAGGTCAAACCGATGACGTCACAGGTCAGGTCAAAGGTCCAATTTTCACCGTTTACAGGCATTTCAAGAAATGCGTTGTAAAATCGAGTAAAATGCATTTCATTGAAAATCATCGATGGGGAAATGTTCTTCAAACACATATTTTGCTATTTGAGGTCACTGATACCAGGTCAGGTCACAGAGGTCAGGTCACGGGGGGGTCACAATATGAAAGTGTCGTGTGAACTGTGATACATGTTTTATGGTCCATTTTACATGACAAATGCGATTATGTGGGTCAGGCAGCCTTTGGGGCCAGCTTAGGTCACGTTTTGGTCAAGGTCAGGTCAAGATCAGGTCAAGGTCAGGTCAAATTAGGTCAAATTTCAAAGTTAATATTTTTGCATAAAATGGGTATCGAATCGATGCAGCTCGTCACGGGGAGTTCAATGGTGCTCTTTGTTTTGCCGTACGTGGTCTAGAATTGCTAAAAATTGAGTTCAAAAATTTGACGTCATCATTTTTGAACAGTTTTTCGCTATAACTTGGCCAAAAAACGAGATATCGATCTGAAATTTGGTACGTATATAGAATAGCGCTGGGACTATCACATATATTCCGGTTTTTCGAAATTCGGAAAAATTTTGGATTATTTTTTTAGTTTTTCTAAAAAAATCTTTTTTGAATTTTTTTTTTGAACAAAAACCAAAAATTTTGAAAATCCGAGATAGCAGTTTTGTAGCGCCGCTTTTTGTCTACTAGACCATATAAAGAACTTTGAAATTGCTTGATAACTGTAGATTTCGTGAGCGCTTCAAGATTGCATGTTTTTTGCTCATTTTTGCTCGAACATGACCTCAGTTTGACCTAAATAACTCCTAACCTAAGGTGACCTAAGACTTGAAATTTGGTGTGAAGCTGTCAAATTGATGCCCGGGAAGGTACTGAAAATTTGGCGGCGCTGCGCGCCGCCGTATTCTTGCTATTCAGGAAAAACCACAGGGGGGGGGGCCAAAATGGCCCCCCAACGGGGCGAGGGTTAACAAAATGAAAAAGAGCAAAGGAAATTAGCACAGCGGTCTTAAGTAAGAGTTGTGCCTGGAAAATATAACTTATTCAACTCACAACTGTTTCAAACGCATGTGAACTCCCCCTCTCCAGACCGAGAAGATACAGTCATTTGCAAAGTCTGAAACGTCGCTAACTCAAAGCAATACAATCATCTGAACAGCCTTTCCAAGCGCCGACCCATCACCCACAACTCACGCCTTGCCGAGGTGGTCGTTGACGATCCGTCGCCGCTGCTTATCCTGAGACTCGAGCAGCGGCTCGGGCGGCAGCGGGCGGCCATCCTCCGTCACCTGGGCGGGGGCGGCCGGCCGGGGCGGCGCCGCGGCCGGGACGCGCACCTGGCCCTGCAGGTAGGCGAGCAGCGCCCGGTTCCGCGCCGCCGCCTCCTCCGGGCTGAGCACAGGAGCGAGTGGGACGGGGGTGTCTGGGGTGCCACCAGACGGGCTTTCATAGCCTGTAGAGCCTTCGGCGGCGGCTGACGGGATATTCACCCGCAGTGGATCAGCAAGCGGTGCAGCGGCGGCGACCGGAGTCCGGTCCGAGAGCCAGTCGAGCAGACGAGCCTCCACCACCTTCAGAGGATGCTGTTGCCGCCGCGCAGCGCGCACCGGACGCTTGAAACCAGACGTCTGTGAGACGGCGGGGACGGCCGGGGGCGTCGGGGGCGCTGGCGTTGATCGTGCCGTTTGTTCAGGGGAGGAAGGCAGCACGGACGGATTGTCGGCAGGATCTTGTCGACACGAAGCTTCATCGAGAGATGTAGCTTTGTCGGCTCTGTCATCGTTCTCTATTTTCTGAGGACATGTAACTTCTTCTGATACACACTTTTTCGACTCTTCCTCCTTCATCGGCTTGTCATCCCTCCTTTCATCAGCTGAATTATTATTCGCCTGTATCCGACACACTCTCTCTATCTCATCTCCCTCGCTCCCTTCTGCCTTCGCACTCTCCTCATACTGCACTACCTTTCTCTCTACCCTCCCTCCTTCACTCTCTGCTCCTGAGGGCCGCCTCAGACAAGGTCGCCGCTGCTTCCTGGCTCCGCGTTCCTCCGGCTTCCCCCGCTCCTCCTCCGGTTTCAGGCCGAGGTCTCTGATCTGTTCCGACAGCTCGTCAAACTGATGCATCATGCTTGTTGCCACCTCATTGGTAGTTATCTCAGACGGAGGTGACTCGTCGGCCGGCGCACGTGCCACGCCCAGTTCCACAACGTCACCGGCCACACCCTTTCTGTCGGTCAGGGACATGGAAACGTGTCGGAAAGATGGCAAAAGGCGAAACGATATGTGAAAGAAGCGAAACATCATCAACCGATATTCAACAGCGATGATAAAGCCATGCAAGTGATCATCATTCTTTTGTTTGGTATTATCTAGTCTATGTACCACATCCTTACATGGCTAATTGATTCCGCACTAGAATGACAGCCCCCTCCCCCCCCTCCCCCCCACTCACTCGTTGTTTTCCTTTTTGAGCAGTCTGAAGACGGGCGGCGGCTCCTTGTCCCGGAGCCAGAGGGGGCTGGTCTGAATTTGAGGCTTCAGATGTCGTGAAGCGCGGAAACATGCATTACTGCAGTATTTCTGAAAAACCAGCAAACAAATGTGCTAAATGACCAGACAAAACATGGGCACAAGCCGGTAACGTAGGTACACAAAACCGATCTGACCATACTTGACATACCGTAAAATGGGGTGTTAAGGGACAGTGGGGTGATAAGGGACAGTTGCGTGGGAAAAACTTTGAGTCATGTTAAGTTCCTTATTTGAGAATGTTTAATAAAAACTTGAGTGTGGTAGTTGACACTGTTTTGTTCTTGACTCTAGGACAAAATGGCATGGTTTTTCATGCAAGTGATTTGGTTCAAAAATGGTTTTGAAAATCATGCTACATTTTCACAAAATTGAGACATCTCCAAAACTCTGTGTGTACCACATAAACTAGTAGGTGTACAGGTAAAATGAATGCATAGGTGTATTGTCACATGTATTGCACATGTTTCCTGAAAAACTTATACAAATCCACCCATTCATTCATCATCATCTTCCTCTTTTCCGGACACATGCATATTTTGAGGTGGATGTGGGGTGCTAAGGGACAGGGAAGAAAAAATAGAAAGTAATATCTAAATATAATTTCATTAAGTTTTCTTTCAGTAGGCATGGAAAACAACAAATTCCACATAAAATGCTGGCAAGTTCATGCTTTCATCTCTAACACATCTTAAGTTATATAACAAAACACCTCAAAACTTCCATAACACTCTTTTACAATGGTGGGTCAATGAAGACTGACGTAGGTAAATGTGATGTCATCATAAAAAGGCCAAAACAAAGAGGGCAACATAATGACAAATGACTAGCTTCAAAATGGGTGTTTGTTGATGGCAGGGTACTTTTTGGTTCTGTTTACCTTATAATTAGCACATTTTCCAGAAGCGTAAACTGCATTACATGTAATTGGCTAAAAAGGCCATTAGTGGTGAATGAACCTGACTTGTTTTGTGACAGAATATGCAAAATGTTTCAATAAATAAATTGTGTGCCCTTTCACACCCCAATTGTGGGCATTTGATGACCATTTCTTGGAATAATATATGTGTCCCTTAACACCCCACATTGGGGTGCTAAGGGACAGTGATGAAAAATAATAAAAAATAATATGCATGTATATATTTTTAAAACATTAATGTAGCAGGCATGTAAAGCACCAAATTCCACATAAAATGCTGACAAGTTGATGCTTGTATCTCCAACTCTTCTTGAGTTATATAGCAAAACACCTCAAAACTGTCCCTTAACACCCCATTTTACGGTACGTATATGAAAGGTTACAAAGGTACTAGCTGTCAATGATTGATTAGCAAACCCAAAGTATCTACCGAACACATGATCTACGTGATTATTGAAAACTAGAGGCATGAACACTGACCGAACGCAAACACTAGATTCAAAACCAGTGTCAGGCGGCCCACAGACCTTCCTCTCTGACATGTCGTAGATGCGGTTGGTAATTGTGGAAATGTGGAACTGGTGCTCGGCCACCCGGCCTAGCCGATTAGCGCAGAGCGGGTAGCCGCAGCAGCCAGTGCAGGAGCGCTCCTCTGTGACGTCATCATAGTGCTGCTGGTTAATAAACTGCAGCTGAAACCAGAAGTGATGTCTCAGTAATGTGCACTGCCCTTAGCCTCAACACCAGAACAGACCTCACAGAAATGTAGGCAATGATAAAATGAATAGAGGCAAGTATCTTATATAAAATGGCAGAACACATGGGACATTTTGCAACAAAAGTTATCATCATGCAAGAGCTATAGTTTTCATGAGAGTGCCCCACCTGATGAAGAAGCCATACAGGGTTGATGACTGGCTCAATAAGCAGCTCTACAATATGAAGAGCTCGCTGGTCGCAAAAACGCTTCTTTTCAGCAGCAGCAAGAATGTCTTTCTGCCTGAAAAAGAGGATTAGGTGAAATGTTTGTAGCTGATGTCAATTTTCAGAATAAGTCGACATGCAGGATGCTCATAACGTGAGAGAAATAATAAGAAAAAATGCCTACATGTGCATATAAATAACAAAAGTGAAACTAGCTTGGATGCACTCACCTGTTTAACTCACCTGTTGGGGTTCCCCGTGTCTCTGCGGTGAGGAAAATGTACAGGAAACATTGGGAGTATGGATGAGGAACCCTCATAGATAAGACGCGCCACTTGCCGGATCCGCCATCAGGCGACTGATCGGCTCGTGGATATGTGCGTCTTCATGATACAATCAATGAAACTTCTCTACATTGGGTACTTATACAGCGATTCACCTAGCGCATCAGCAAGTTTTTGCTTGAATGTATGTAGATTATTTTCCGATACAGCGTCGTCGGGAAGAGCATTCCATCGACTCACACAGCGCGCAGCAAACGCTCTCTGGCGTACACCTGTTGATGCGCGCACATGACTGACTTTATATCTATGGCCTCTAGTTCCTGACTGTGGCGCCATGGTGAACAAATCTGTGGGTGCAATGGAGCATTTGCCATGGAACAGTTTCCAACATTGGATCATGTCACCACGCAACAGCCTACCTTGGACTGAGTAATGGTTCAACACACGTAGCTGTGCGCGATAGTCCAGGCCAGACATGCCAGTTACACGCTTAGTCCACCGGCGCTGGACTGACTCCAAGACGCGCAAGTCCATGGCATACCCAGTAAACCACACACAAGAACAGTACTCCATGATGGAGCGCACATGAAAATAATTGAATGTCGCATCAATGTCGCTTTTTTGGCATGCAAAAAAGAGCACCAAATAATTGCATTAAGAAACTGCTAATCATCAATAACTTGAACTTACCTTTTTGTTAGCTTGGGAAGCTGGTGGGCCTCCATAATGGATCCAAAAATGTGATAATTAACCTGAAATTCAGCCCAAGATACCTATAAGAAACAGGTAGATCCGATGTTTGAAAGTAAAGTCCTAGTCACAAATTTGACACACCTGTGACATTTCCTGACACCCACGTGACTATTGTATTAACTTTTGTGTTTTGCGATGTTTTGACCTTATTTAAAGTACTGAAAGCTCAAAATGTATGATTAATGTTGTTTAAAGCAGCATATTAATAATTATATTTGTAAATTATCGATAAGCTGCTTATAGCAGGTCACGTGATTGCTACCAGATTATGTGCTCAGAAAGCATCTTTTCAACTTCGATTTTGAACAATTTTTACCTCCTTTGAGGCCAAATGATGGACGGTTTGAGGCACACGATGAAATGCTGAATCTATTGATGCCAAAATTTGTTCGTTTTTTGCATTTTTAGACTAGTATATCCTGGCTCAAACTTTGACCAGTTTGTGTGTAAACCCTATAATGAAGGGAAAACTTCACGCCCAGCAGGCGTCATTACAGTGCTACCAAATCGTGTTTGGTGGGGGCTGATTCAGCCCCCGCGCCGCCACCAGGGCCCTGTTTCATGTAACGCACGGTCATAGAATACTAAGGTAACACGGAGCCGAAGCTTCAAGCCAGGGGACACGGGAGGCATGCCGTCAGCTGTCCATTTATAAATAATCGGTTTCTTTGACTTAATTTCTAATGTTTTTCTGATGTTTTGCATCAATGAGGTACATCAAAAATTAAGTTTTATTTTTTTTGAGGTCGAAAATATTTTGTTGTCCAAACTATCCCCGTTTAAAGAAAATAGACAAGGGGAGAGTTTACCCAGGACCCTATGGAGAGAGTCAACCCAGGGCCCTATGGGAGAGAGTTAACACGTGCTTCTATGGGGCGAATTCGATGCAACAATGGCGCAGTGGCGACATTACTCTTGTTCGATGTTTTTCGGACGACAAAGATTCTACGCCATTCGGCCAATCATATTCCATAATTGCAGCCGAGCCCCCGTTGATCTAGAACGGGATTGGCCGGACGACGTACAATCTTCGTCGTCTGAGAGACATCGAACGAGGGGTACATCGACTGAACATACATTGCGATTCAATATTCATTATTTTATGACCGTGATTGCAATCCAAATTTGCATTTGAGCTCAGCAGTCGAGTGTGGTGCCAAAAATGCCAGAAGCGATGTCCTATATACGGCCTTGACCAGAAGTGTTGCATGCCCTGGATGCAGAACAAAAAGATTGAGATGAGTGGATCAAGATGTATCTTTCGTGCAGATGTATCAAGATCCTTTCACTTAAGATCCATGCAGGTGAGGTTCCAGTGAAATTTGAATTCGATAGGTAGCTATTTTTGATTTTGCTTTGATACTTGTGGTAAGGAAACATGATTATGGTTGCATGAACCGCCCACTGCTCATTGCTGTCTTGTCTCACGTTCGATATCCGATCACCATTCTTAAATAGCTCACCCCATATCGAAATCAGGTTTCAGGAGGCCACTAGGCTTGTGGGGCCTGGTCTCAATGAGCTCCCAGTGCTAAGGACAGTCAGGCTCATATGCTGGGTAAGGTCAGGTTCAGGTAGGCCAGTATGCACTCTGCAAAGCATGGCAATTTCGACAAGATCTCGTCTGTGCTGGCTTGTCCGGCTGGTGAGGCTTTGGTGTGGCGTGGATTTAGCTTGGTGCAGTGCGGATTTTGTGTAGCGCGGTGCAGATTTGGTCTGGTGTGGTCAGGTGGTGGGGGATGTAGTGTAGTGCATTTTAAATGTGGCTGATAGGTGTGCGGTGGTCAGAACGGACTGTGCCAGTGCTGGTGCCTGGTGGTCCCACCAATCACGGGGGTCATCTCCTGTTGTGACCCAGGGCCCAGGGGGTCTAGTCAAAACCTTACCTATTTCTGCTAACCTAAACCTATTTCTTACAAATTAGGCATAAATGTGATTATGGTATAATGATAATTAAACCTGGCCCTTTTTCAGACGCAAACTTTGGATGAACTTCTGCTTCTGCGGTCGGCATTCTTACAGGAGAACCCGAGATTCATTGTACCTACCTGTATGCATTTCAAAACTGAATAATTGATAGCAACAAGTAAATATTTGAAGTTGCAGCCAAATGCTGTGCCTTCTCTGCTGCAGGAGCTACATGTCACCATTGAAGCAAGGTAAGTGTTAAAAGAAATTGTTCACCTTCTGTGAGTAACTTGATAAATAAAATTTAAAAAGGTGTGTTAAAAATGTGATGAATAAAATTTAAATGTATTCTAACTTGGAATTACACACTTCTTCTAAAGGGATTTCAATATTTTAATGATTAGAGTTTGAGTTATGAACACTTACAGCTGAACAACCTATCAGCTGCAAGGGATTCTGCTCCTGTAAGTGCTCTCATCGCTGATTGGCCACTGTGTGTGTTGAAGAGGTTTCTGCTTGCTGTAAATGGGCACTAGAACATTAACCCTCGCCCGCACATGGGGGGGGGGGTGGTTGCCACCCCCCCAGGCAGTCTTTCTGCTCTGCACTCAACATTTTTTGAGCTAGAAGGCTGATTTTTGGTATAGCTGCTCGTCTATCCTTTCTTGATGTCCACTGAAAATTTCAAGTTTCTGTGATGTTTGGTTTCAGAGATATGACCTTGTTTTTCAGGTCATGTCATGACCCAAATGGCCAATTCTCAACATCTTGCGTTTGCCATGGGCCTTGTGAGCTTTTGACACCCTGATTTCGGCCTTTTTTGCCAGTCTTACCTCCCACCTATCATGGAACATGTTGTTCGACGATGTACAGGGGTCAAGGTCAGGGTCAAGGTCAACCTAGGTCATCTAAGATAATTGCGTTTTAGGCAAGCTGAATTTACTTTTTGTGAAGTTTTTTGACTGCATTTTTGGTAAAAGCTTCTCAGATCATGATTTCATGTGATATGGACTCAAAAACAATCGGTGCACACATTAGTATACACACAGACACACACAGACATACAAACACATATAATTGACTTTGACCTAACTTGACCTGAAATGACCTCAGCAGCAAAATTCTGGTCGGATAGTGTGACAAAGAGGTTCTAGCTGGCTTGGCACCAGAAAACAGCATCGTCATCGGTATTTGATAAGCAGCGCACTTGATATCCAACGGTGACCCAAAACAGCAACATTTTTTAGTTTGACCTGACCTGGAAGGTCAATGACTGACCTGAGAAGGTAAAACTGGGTATCATTGGATTCGTCTCTTCCCAAAGAATCTTTTTGGTCTTTACTGCTAAGCTCTATCTCCAACAGGAACGAAATGGCGCGGGGGGGGTGGCAACCACCCCCCCCCCCCCATGTGCGTTCTAGGATGGGAAAATGGCATGTGCGGGCGAGGGTTAATTTAAGCACCAATATTCACTGATAAATGGTGAATATCTCAAACGGTTCAAATATAAGGCATACACAAATCTGCTCTATCAGACTGCTATCTCAGTTTAAAATCCCATGTTAAAGGTGAACTATTTCCTCGACAGGACCAGCTCGACTCCTGCAGTAGGAGTCCAGCCTCGTCCAGTCGTCGCCGCTCGCCAAGACCAGCCGGACTCCTGCAATAGGGGTCCAGGCTGACCCGTTCGTCCAGTAACCGCCGCTCGTCAGCACCAGCTGGGCTCCTGTAGTAGGAGTCCAGCCTCGTCCAGTCGCCGCCGCTCGCCAAGACCAGCTGGGCTCCTGTAGTATGGGGCTAGGATGGCCCGTTCATCAACCGGTCCTGAAGTCATCGCCGTCAGCCAGTGTTTCATTTTTCAGCCTTTTTGGTGGCAAATCACACCTAATGGGGAAAATATTTTCATCCCTAAAATATGAATGACCAACTTTACTTCATCTCTGAAAAGAGTTTCATGTATTCCCAACAGCCAGTTCACTTGTCACTTGACAGTTGATGCACCCACATCCTTTTGTTCCACACCCTGTCAAGATCCTGACATGAAATCCTGGTTTATCAGTTAGCATAAAAATTGGCATTACACCATTTTGCAAAAATACTGCAGTTATTTACTTTCTTTTTTTCATCCTAGGATTTTTTTCTTCATCGGCACACCCAACCAATATCCAATTTTAGAACACTGCCGTCAGCCAGCCGAACTCAGTACATAAGTCACCAACCCTGAATGTTGCCAGCCAAAGTCGGCAGTTTCCTTCGGACAGTCATCTCACCAGTGTTGTACAGTGTACGAGGTTAGTGACGCAGTTAAATGCGTCAATTAAATGCGAGGACGTGCGCTTGTATGCAGCGTTTTGTCATGTTGAGCTGCATGGGTGTCGATTTTCACCGAATTGAGGGTGCCCACTGCCCGGGCGCAGCAAATCCGCCGCTGCCTTAGCGGTGACCTTGACCCGCACCGTCTGTTGGGGCTCCAAAGCCAAGCCAGCCGAGCCGGCGGGGAATCTAAAGAGCTTGAGCACCCCCAACCCGGCGGAAATTGACACCTATGTTGAGCTGTATGGATGCGTTTTAGCCTTCCGCCGTGGTGGTAAATAGCAGCCTACATGCAGAATTAGGCAGGCTTATTAGCGGACTCATTATTGGATTCATTGTGTCACGTTTGTCGGCACGTGTAAGATGTGCTTAACTGCCATTAGCTCTCGGCCTGGCGACTTCTGGGGACCACGTAATGGGGATGACAATTGGGATCCTGTGCCTTAAGCCGGCCATTTACGTCCATGGCTATATACCCCCGTACTAGGGCTAGTTATGACGTATATAGGGATCCACGAGATCTTTTTTGATGAATGTGTTGTGCAGTGTTGAGATCCGCGTGTAACGTCACTGTTTGGCCAGTCTGCCCTCAAACGCGTCATCTTTACTCGTATTTTATTTACTGAACGTTTTGCATGGTCCAGTGGTTTATATAGACATCTTCCTTGCACTAGCTAGTTTTATGTGGCCAGGTTGATTGCCTGTCAGCGCGGTCACGCTGTCGTCTTTCGATTGGTGCGCTTAAATGCGGCGAGATGAATATAGGATTTCCTTTGATGCTATTTAGTACCTGCGCCCAGCTCAACTGGGGAAGGGGGGGGGGGGCACTGCCGACTTTTGGTCCCATTCTTTCCATGTAACGCCCATAGAGCCCATTGTTAAAATGCCAAAATCAAAGGGGGGCACGGTGCCCCGGTGCCCTCCCCGTTCCGTCGCCTATGCGCGAAAGTACCAACTACCAACAGTTTCCAGTTGTTTGTGTCCCAAAGTTTTTTTTTATGAGTTGACGATTGGGCTTTTCACATCGCTCGTTATGCAATTATTTTGTTAAACGCTCTAAAATTGTTTCTCTACAAGTCATTAGAACTTAGAAGCAAATAGATATTGATGGATACGATCTCAAGGGGGCCGATAAGAAGGAAGAGCGCGCGGCGCAATGATTGTGGAGCACAGCACACGATTAATGTGAGGCGCATTTACGCGAGAAATAACTTCATTGAACAGAAATGAGCAGAGTACCAGCATTGAAACTGCACCAGTACCAGCATTGAAACTAGATATAAGATATCTCAGAAGGTTGCGTTTTTGGGGCCGAGTTGTGGTGCTTTACGCCGTACATCATGCTTAATGAATGTGACCGTCGTGTTTGTGGGATCCCCGTCGGTACTAGTCAGCCCCACGAATCGTGGTAGATCATAAAGATAATCTTCGCCTCCGGTTATGATTTTGATATATCTACGAAACGGGTGCTGGGTGGTACACGAAAGCAGCTTTTTCAGGTGAGTTGAAAGGGGAAGAGGTTCTTTGAATTACCATTTCGGACCATGGTTCTAAAAAGCGCTAGTTTAAAACTATTGTTATAATTCCTATCGTAAACCATCGGACGCTCGACGCTGCATTGGCATTGGTACGATGTGCCGGTAATCGCTTCGCTCGCCGAGAATGATAGCGTGGCAGGTTTACTGATATGTAGGATTATCAAATAAATGTAATAGAAACGATATTAAATCCACTACCTCTTTAGAAGCTCTTGAAATAAACCTGGCTATCTGGTTGTCGAAGCCAGGCAAATTATATGCTTGGAATGACTAAATGTCCATTGTCCATGACATCATTAAATTGAATTATTTTCCTTCTTAGCACTTAAAATACATTTCAGCGACACAAAACTCCCAAAAGTCTGATATCTTGCCCGTGGTATCGTGGTACGATCGGCGAGTACCTAAACCTTCCTACGCAATGTCCATGGCTATGCGAAGTCTAAGGTTGGCCTACATAAGCCTTGGGTTGGCCTGTTTATCCTGTTTCATATCGTATCTATGATAATAAAGTGTTCACGATCGCATAGCCAAACTGAGAACAAAATATTTATTTGCAAAACTTCAGCAATACCCCTCGCTTGATACTATAAAAAATATTGCACACGATCATGCGAAGCCGTGAATCCTACCGCCTTTATTTAGCGCCGGCGTTCCCGCGTTAATAATTTCTCCTGAATCGGAGGACCAACAATCAGCTGACGCACCGTTGTTTTGATGTCGGCGGACCGTGCCAGCCTGATGTAACGCATGTAACGGAAGTCGGAACCAAGGCAGTATATACCGTCGGAACCACTTGTGTGTTTTTTTTTTTTTGGGGGGGGGGGGTTAGGCCCTTTCGGTCGACAAGACCATTGCAGAGCCGGAAGGATGATAGGAATTAGGGGGAGACATTGGTCTGGGCAGGCACCCTAGAGAGTCGCCGGGGATGAGCCCGTCCATAGGACAGGCCGACCAGCCCCCCAAGCACTCTCTGCACCCGGCTACGGGGTGCAGCTCCCTCGGGAGCAGCGGTGCCGCTCCAAGGGAGCAGCCCGCATGAGATAAAGTTGCCTGTCCAGCCCGGAAGGGGGTTGTGGCGTGGAGGAGAAGGAATTCAGTATCCTGAGGATAGAAGCACGGATAGGTCAACCACTTGTGTACAGACCACAGTGTATTTATATACACTGTGTATTTTGTGTATTTATATACACAGTGTATTTATATACACTGTGGTCGGAACTCTGGTCGGAACCTCGGAAGTTGGCACAGATCGCACAGATTCAGCACAGGTTCAGCACAGCACAGATTCGGTAGGGGGAAAATCAGCCTCGGTAGGGGGAAACCTTTATGACCCGTTTTTCTGTAGAAATTACGTCACAAACGGGTAAAAAACCACACCAATCGAAAGCTCTCGTTTACCCAGACACAGCCCTGCAGGAAGATTTCACTTTTCCCATAGGAAAGTTTTTACAGGAAAATCAAAATTTTGGGTCAATGGGGGGTCCCCTTCGATTTCGTTCAAAATCGGCACACGGGTGCCCCACCACCAGACGAGAAACTTTCCCCAAAGGGTCCCCGTTGCATTGACGTTTAAGGCCCGTAAAGCCCTCTAGACTCGTAAAATATCCGCAAAATCGCCTTCCCAGTAAACATGCCGACGTCGGCCCAACGTCGGCCCGATGTCGGTCCAACCTCGGCACGACGTCGGCTGGATGTTGGATATGCCCGCATGTACCGACGTCCAGCCGAGGTCCAGCCGACGTCGGGCCGACGTCGGACCGAGATCAATTGCTGAGGTCCAGCCGACGTCGGGGCGACGTCGGACAGACATCGGCCGCTGTTTTGACCGTTAAAATAATATAAAATACATGTTTCATGTTTCATAAACAGCTTCTGTATTCAAAATATCCTCAGGAAACTCAAATCTTCCTCCACGCCGCAACCCCCTGATCCGGACTGGACGGGAAACTTTATCCCATTTGGGACTGCCCGTAAGCCGAGCTCGCCCGTAGCCGGGTGCGGTAGTGCTTGGGGCTGCTCGGCCTATCCTTTGGTCAGGCTCAGCCCCGGCAACTCACCAGGGCCGGGCCAAGTTCATAGGTATAGAAAGGCCAGTCGGCAAGTGTCACTTTGCCAAAGTGCCACTTATCAAAGGGACACTTTGGGAAACGTTGGTGCAGGTGTGTAAGAGTGGCTATATGAATCCATTGTGGGGTCGCCTTCCAATAAGTGTCACGTAACAGCAATGGGACCAGGGACTCTATATGACCAGGGACTCTATATGGGCTCGAATCCCGCCGCCGGTTGATATTTTTGGCGCGTTGCCCCAATAAACATGCCGACGTCGGCCCCGTCGGTCCAACGACAAACGATCTCGTCAACCTCGGCAAACGACCTCGGCCCGACGTCGGCTCGACGTCGGCTGGACTTCGGCTGGACGTCGGAACATGCGGGCATATCCGACGTCCAGCCGATGTCGGGCCGAGGTTGAACCGACGTTGGGCCGACGTCGGGCCGACGTCGGCATGTTTACTGGGTTTGTACGGCCAAAAAAGTGGTGCTATGGTAAAAATGGGTATCAATCGAAAGCTCTCGTTTACCCAGACACAGCCCTGCACGAAAATTTCACTTTTTCTCCATAGGAAATTTTTACGGGAAAATCAAAATTTTGGGTCAATTGGGGGGTCCCCTCCGATTTCGTTCAAAATCGGCACACAGGTGCACCACATCCAGACGAGAAACTTTCCCCAAAACGGTCCCCGTTGCATTGACGTTTAAAGGGACCCTCCCACCTTCAAAAAAGTTTATGAATTGGCATGAAAATGATGTCGCTCGGTTCAGAAAGAGCGAAAACGAATATCTACCAAATTTCACCGAAAAATATTCACCGGTTTTCAAGATACTAGACTTTTACTTTTGTTTACTTTTTGGGATCTCCGCTGTTCCTAGCGACTTTATTTGGAAGCAATAGTTTGGCAGCTGAAAGTGCGGCACTTGTTGCGCGCAAAGCAGCATATACGCATGCTATACGCATATTTACGTCTGGACAACGAGTTGCGGGGA